CGGGGGCGGAGCCCCTCTTCCGTATGCTCTCTTCATCGGTTTTGGACTCAAAGACAAGAACTGACCCTCAGCTGCCTGCAGCAGCCCCCAAGGAGACCCTACCATTCCCTGGTGTTACTGAACAGCTCACGGTGCCGAGACCCTCGCACAGGAGCCGCAATGGTCGTTCAGGCATAGAATCATAGAATGACGGAATGCTTTGGGCTGGGAGGACCTTTAGAGGTCATCTAGCCCAACCCCCCTGCAGTGACCGCCTGATGGCCATCAATGTAGGAGAACCAGCATCTTCCTTTTCCACATGGACCATCCCCAGTCTGGAGCTGATGAGCCTGCAAAGCAGCTTGCAAAGGATGCGGGACCTCCCCGCAGCCCTGCTTGCTTTTATTCCCGTTACGCTGAGCACAAACATCGCACCCCCAGCTCCCGGCTGCCGTCCGATCCCGTCCGGGAGAAACGGCTCACCCCTGCACGCCGGGGCAGGTCCGCTCCACGCCAGGTTCACCCCGTCGGCGGAGGGGCAGTAGACGGAGGCCCGATGAGGGACAGACCCTCCGCACAGCTGTACTTGACTTCTAAGCCGTAGGGAAACTGCTCCTGTCCCGAGGCAGAGTGCTGCCCGTTGGCGATTTTTGGAGGGGGGCCACAGTCTGTGAGAGAACAGAGAAAGAAAAAAATCAGGTTTTTCTGTATTCAGTCAGGGAGACAGAGGGGTGCAGAGAAGTAGCAGGAGAAGCCAGTTCTCGATGCTTCTAGTTAAGGTTGCTCTCCTGAAAGTCCTCCTCGCTTCTTGCCAGGTTTGGCCCTTGCTCTTCCAGTGTTCCCAGACCGACCCAGCTAACCATCCCCCTGGCCCGGCACAGCCCCAGTGCCGCAGCAGTGTCCCCACTCCCTCCCCTTCAGCCCATCTTCCCTTATCCCCTCCTCTTCTCCCAGGTAAACGATCCTGCTCTTGAACAGCCTGAGGGAATGGTGAGTATCATAAACCTCTTAAACAGTCCCGTGAGAAAATGGCTGCAAGTCCCGTTACTCAACACGTTTTATCAATTACAGTTTTGATATACAAGATGAAAACATTAAAGCCATTTAGTGCTGTGACTTGGACCCCTTCTCCGAGCAGGGATGCAATTTTCTCCTTGCTGTTCCCACCCGCTGCAGCGTTGCCATCCCCGGCACCCACCGCGCTCGCGCCGAGCTCGCTCACCCTTGTCGCAGTACGGCACGGGGGGTCTCCACGTCCCGTCGGACCAGCACTGGATCCTCTGGTTGCCCCTCAGCACGTAGCCGGGGTCGCACTGAAACTCCGCCTGGTCCCCAAAGGCGTATTCGGCTTTGCCGGGGCCGAGCTCTCTGCCGTGGCGGGGGGCCGGGCTGGGACACCGCGCCTCTGAGGAACACCGGCATCAGAAAGAGCTTCCACGGCGGGGGTCAGGGGGGAGAGCAGGAGACATTGCCACGGGGGTGGTCTCCCGCGGTGGGGGCTCGCTGACCTGCCAGGCGGCCTGCTGACACTGGCAGACGCCCCTGACCAGACCTGGCATGCTCAGGGACAGTAATTACGTGATAACAACCATTTCCCTTGGAAGGCAGCGTGATCTGAGCCCTGTAATTAGCTATAAATTGTGCTGAAGGGATGATACGTTACTCGCTGTACCACTGCATCGTTTGAACAGCTAAATAAACAACGTGAATTCAAGCTATTTCTTTCAAGCCCCGCTGCCCTTTGAACAGCAAAATTATTATTAGCGAGAGCCAAAGCACCGCTCTGTAAAGTCCTTACGGCACAGCACCGCTAGCGGGTACTTTGAAAACGATGTTATTTCCCCGTCATTAAATTGATGCTTTGGTGGCAAAGGAAATGGCGTACTTACTCCGGCAAAGCTTCGGGATTGCCGACCACGTGAAATTTTTAAGGCAAGTAGTTGTTGGAGAGACTTCGGGGAGCAAAGTGTACCCGGATCTGCAGGAGTAGGTCACGGTTGTCCCGACTGGGAACTCGCGCTGAGGCTTTCGGTCCGCGTGGTCGACGAGAGGAGGGTAGGAACAGTGACCTGGTGCCAGAGCAGGGGACAACAGGGACCCTCAGAGCTGGGAGGTCTCCACCAGCGACCCACCGGGGCTGAGCTCTGCCTTCGGGGGAGCCCAGCCTGCCCCGTGGGCAAGGGCAGAAACCCCAGGAAGAAGCAAGGGGCAGCAGCAACCCGGAGCATCGCTGTGGGGGGTGTGGGGGAGAACTGAAAAGGAAAAAAAATAAGGACGACAAATTCACCAGATGATGTGAATAACGAGAGGGAATATTCCTGTACGCTTTTGCATCTCGCTGGGTGCACCCTGCAGCAAGGGAGGACAGCCCTGCCGCGTTACCCTGGGGTGCTGGAGGAGCAGAGGGGACTCCTGCCACCACACGCCGGACAGGGCAGCTCACCGTGGTGCCCACCCACCAACCCACAGAATCACAGAATAGTAGGGGTTGGAAGGGACCTCTGTGGGTCATCTAGTCCAACCC